CTGTGAAGGTGGTGAGGCACTGGAACCCACTACCCAGAGAAAGTGTGGATACCCCATCCCTGGAAGTGTTCAAGGCCAGACTGGCTGGGGCTCTGAGCAACCTGGTCTTAGTGGAAGGTGTTCCTCCCCATGGTAGGGGGTTTGAAACTAGATGATCTTCAAGGTCCCTTTCAAGCTTAGCCATTTTATGATTCTATGATTTCTTCATTAAGCTTTTAATTTCTTCAAAATTATTCTTCTTTGCTTAAGAATATTTTTTCCCCCTTTATTACTAGCTATTACTCACTTGCCTCAGTATAAGCTGGAGGAATGTCTGAACTATGGTCAACTGTACTGTATGTCCTCTCTGTGCAAAGCATTTATAAGAGTTGTTCTACACACAGTTCTCCATCAACTCCCAGCCTTATGAATTCTTTCTGTTGAAACCGTTATCATGGAATAAAAATTAATTGTCCCAATTTAGCTTACTGTATTTTGAATGTGTCTTTATAACCATACAAACTTGGAGTTATTCTGGTAAAGTAATAACACTGATATATTTTTCCTGAACTAACTTGCAGATATGAAGAAGCTGTTATAATAAATTTTTAGTCTTGAGTATATTAGAAAAAACCCATTATTTTTCTTTATTAGGTTCACTGTTTTTGCTAGGGTTAATATAGAATGGGGTTGGTATTTTTAAGTTTTTCAGTAGTTTTCAGGCAAATCACAGATCACCTCCTGCTACAAAAATATTATAAATTTCAGTTTGCAACATATCAATGTGATTATTCTACTCACTGTAATTTTATTTACATGTCATTATTCAAAAGTAATCTGGAGACCCTTGGTGTGCCTGATGCTAGTTATTTTGCATTGGATGGAAAACTTCCACTGGAAATAAGAGGAAAGAACCGTATAACCTTGAATGAGCTTTGATCAGCACTTGAAAAATGAAGATACCCACATTTCCAAACTTTTGATCCTTTTTTTCCCCATTGCCTTGACAGGTAACGGTTTACACTTCCTTCATCCTGCCACCCCTCTACCATGCACCCCTTGAATGTGCAATTCATCCTATTTTTTTCCATCTTGAGATTAAATCTGTGGGTAATGGGTAACTATAGGAGGAGTGTACTCTTAAGCCAAGCCCCTTCTGTTCTATAAGGTATAGGAGACTCTGGCTCCTTTAGGAAATTACAGACGAATCATAAATGCATTGACACATGTTCACATATTAATGGTCACATCCTGTACTGAGATCAGCATCTCTGTGAAGAAGGTCAATAAATTATTCCACTTATTTTCTTAAGCAGAGTGATGCCAAGCACACTTTCTCTATCAGTCTAGAAATAGCAAGTCCTGGCTTTTTGACCTTTTTTTTAACTTTTTTTAAAATGTTATGATGAGTGACAGACACCTCCCATGTATCTCAGCACATTGTCTGCATCATGCTCATTATGATCCTATGCATGTCAACAAGGGCAAAGCATCACAGCACAAACATTTTATTTAAGACCAAGAGAATCTATTATATTGTTTTGGTTTGTTTTTTTGTTTTGTTGTTGTTTTTTTGGTTTGGTTTGGTTTGATTTGGTCTTTTAACACAAGCAGAGTTAGAGAAGCAGAACTTGCATGTGATTATTCTCATCTTGCAGCCTAACACCACCATTGCTGGAAGGAGGCCACAGGCTTATGACTAATATAATTATATATAACATAATAACATAAGGTGTAGAGGAATACAGGCCTGGTATGACAGCAGGGTCCCCTGAGAGTTGGCTCACAGGAGGCATAGGATGATAAAAAAAGGGGGACAGCATTGGCAGTGGAGAACTTGGGGCTATAAAGAGCTCTCCAGTAGTCAGCTAAAGCAGTGCAGACTTGAGAATTGGACAAATATAGCTGAGGGATTACACAAAGAACAAGTATGTAACATACATAAATGGCATCACAGATAATACAACTGGATTAAAGTGGAGCTGTAGACAAATGAAGAAAGAGTAAGGTGTTAAGGGATTTTAAAACTCAAATAAAGTAGCTTCATATTAGTTCTTTGATTTTCTCAACAAAGAACTTACTGGGAATACATGGATGACCAGCCACAGCACCAAAACCCACTGCTTGACAAAGGCTGGCACTGTTGACTCTAGAGAGGCAGTGGGAGGGTAAGCGCAACATAAAAAGAGGGCAGACATGAAGAGTCTGTCTACAAAAAAATGAACTGCATTATTATTCCTATTTTTTCTTTTGTTTAAGTAGTAGTAGCATTCTTTAATTTATTTCTTTTTTCTTTTCTGTATTAATTAGCTCTCATCTAATAGTTCTTTGATTAGTCTGAGAAAGGTATGGTCCCTTTCTTTTCCCCCCCAGAACCAAACTCTGTGTATACCATTAGTAATTGGAACAGAGAATGCATCTTTTGGAAATTTGGGCTTAACAATCTTTCCAAGGTCCCAGACAGTATCTGGCACAGTCAGAAATAGCATAAAGATATCCTGTCTCCCAGTCTGGCACATTAACTACAGGACCATCCTTCCTGCCTTTGCTTTATTTATTACATTGAAATAATTATTATGCATACTGAGCTCTTTGAAAGTACATTGCTCTAAATACTAGAAAAGTCATCACACTGTAATTTGAAAAATACCAACTCCTTTTTTTTTTTTGGTACATCATTCAAACCATGGAGCCATTATGACAGACCCCAGGGAATAATACTGCCCTGACTCATGGCCCGATAATACACAATTTAGTGCACATCAGCACTATGACAAAGACAGGCATTGCATTACACAATGACAAAGGTGAGTCCTGCACAGCAGAACAATCGGTTTCTTTTCTCAAAGCTCAGGGCTCACCTGCAGCTTGCCAGCTGTTGCTAATGAATGTGAGCTTTCAGAAACACAACTGACTTGAGTTCACCTCTGGACTGCACACTTAGTTTTTCTGTGGGCCCCACTCTTAAGCCTGCTGAGCAGGACCCATGTTCTTTCTCAGGTACCAAGATTATCCTGCACACTTGGTTTCCTTAGACATTTTTGCATCTCCCCTCAGCTTCCCGTTAGACTGCAGTGTACGATTTTATCAACTTTTGACTTGAGACAGACACTGCAGGCAGGCCCTCTGAGACTCTCAGTCTATGCAGGGGCAACTGTGTTTTCTTTCTTTCATGCCATTACGCTTTAGAGAAATGCCTGGTCATGAATGCCCAGGTAGCTTCCTTCCACAGGGATACATCTCAGGCTTGTCGAGGTAAGTGTGGGTTGGATAATTAAATCTCTTCAAAGTAGTTAAGTTTACGAGTGAGTAGCCCTGTGTAAATGCAAGGCAGGTGGTGTGCTATCTAGAGCACTCTTCGAGAACATTGAGCGTACAGAGGTGAAAGCAAGTGCAGTGCATGTGAAGGAATGAGTGCACTTAGCTGCTATGGGCTCACAGGGTAACAGGGCTGACAGCTTTTAGTGTCCTGTAAACGCAGTGCACCTCATGGCTAATTTCTGATTGAAGAAGTAAATATGAAACCAGGAGTTGCCATTCTTTTTTGGACCTTTTTTTTGAGCATTCTTTGACTTTGATCTGGCAGCTTGAACCCAAAGTGAACTTCACTTTAATTTGTCTACTAGCTAAGAACATATGCGAACTGATATTCTGTTATCCAGGCAATTCCTACTGGTGCAAACACACTGACTGTAACAGAAAATAATTCGTGGAGAGGAGAAAGAGTAAGGTGATGGAGAAAATTATGTTCATGATAAAAACCAGCTCCATGTCATGGACTTAAAACAGGAAAGGCATGCAGGAACATCAGCATTCAGCATTGCCCTTACTGGATGGTTTCATTCACAACAGCTCTTGTGCCAGCCTTCTTCCAAAGTGATAAAATCCACAAGTAGTTTCTCATAGGCAAGAAATGTCTGCAGCAGTCCAGTCCCAAAGCAAACATGGGTTATGATGCACTCAAAGCAGTCAGCGTAAAATGCCACATTTCTAGACTACTTCGTATTTATGAAGCACAAAGTGACCTGACAACAAAAATTCTATTTGCAACATTGTGTGAAGTTGTAGCTGGAAAGTATCAGTTTCCACATTATGGAAAGTATCAGTTTCCATATTATGTCCATGAGGTCATCAAAGTACAGTGAGATTCAGCGGTTTAGCATTATTTATGACCTTTGAAATACCACCCACATTCCCTATTGTGTATGCTAGCCAAATCTGTATGGTAGAGTGATTTAGATACAGATTCAGGGCCGTTTTTCACAGACTTTCAAGGTACCAAGAACCATTTCTTATGCAGTAGGTCTTCCCAAAACTCAGTATATCCTTCTCATGGGAGCTTCTGCCTCATTTAAACCATCCTGCCTTGAAGCTCACTTGATAGAGAAGGTAACCCCTTAAGACGTGGCAATCACTGCTAGCTATGCCTGGTTGAGACCAACATCTGCAAAGATTGAGAGGCATCTTATTAGTTAACTTTTTTCCCTGTTCAATTATATTTCCTCTTTGCCCATCCTTGGCAGGTAAATTCTCATGGCTGCAAATGTTTTGGAGAGAAGGCTGACGCACTGCAAGAGTTAAACAGCTATACTGATTAATATTTCCTCTATTTCTTTTTCTTTTACCTCTGATTTACCAGACGTTTTGAGGAGGAACGATATCTTTTGTGATGAGGCTGGCGGCATGCCACAGCGATGAAAGATGCCCTTGTAACTGGAACAAAGAACCCCGGCTAAGGATCCTGATCCCAGCGGGGGCTCCGCTGGGATGCTTTATGCGTCTAGTAAAATCCTAGTTCCAGACAGACACCTCAAAGGGAACCCACAAAACCTAGGCCCTGACCGTAGCGTGCCGTACGCCATGGCTCACATTGGGCGCACGGAGGCTCCCGGGGAGGGCACCCCCAGCCCGGCGGGGAGCGGGGAGCGGGGCCCGGCCCGGGCCCAGCGCCTCGCCCGCCCCCGCAGCCCGGGCGCGGCGGTGCCGGCGGCCGCAGCGCGGCGTCTGCGTGCGGGGGGGCCCATGGCCAGCCCGCCGCGCCCGGCCACACCATGCCGAACAGGGCCGGCCTGGACACCGCGCTGAAGATGTCCCTGCGGCGGAAATCCTCCAAGATCCACTCCTCGGCCGGTGAGGAACGAGCGAGGCGAGGCGAGGCGAGGCGGGCGGGAGCGGCGCGGGCAGGAGGCGCCGCGGCGGAGGGCGGGAGGCGCGCCGGGGGAAAGGAAGGCAGCCGGCGCCTCCATGGCGCGGCCGCCCGGCCCCGCCACCGCCGCCCCCTCGCCGGGGCCTTTGGGAATCCCGCAGTGCCGCCCCCGCCCTCGGGGTCTCCGGTCGGGATGGAGCTGCTCGCAGGCCAGCGCTGCCCGCCCGCCGCCCCCGCCCCAAGGGCACCGCGCACCCGGCCCCCGCCTCCAGACCCCGGCCCGGCACTGCACCCCGCGAGGCCACCCTAAGCCACTGCACCACCTTGCGTCGGCCTGTCCGTCCGTCCGTCCGTCCGTCCTTCTGTCCATCCATCCATCCATCCATCCATCCATCCATCCATCCCATCGGGACCCCCCAGGGCCCTCCCGGCACCCACAGCCCACGGGGGAACAGCCCGGAGGGGGCAATGTGCCGCCTTTCTTTCTCTTGGTTCTGATAGTTTTTGACAGGGAAATTTCTGGGTGGGCATCTGCTCAGAGGGCAGTATGGCTGGTGGAGGTGAGGCAGGGGTGCCCCACACCCCACCAGGCTGGTCAGAGACCTCTGTCCTGTGCTCTGGAGTGGGGAGAGCATCAGGCACTGCAGTGAGCCTGCAGAGAGATAAATTATAAGGTTTCTTAAGAGGTTCATGTAGGAAAATGTTTTTCAACTAGCTCACAAGAAAATAGACAGAAATGGAATACTTTGTAGAGAGAATTCTGGTGCCAAAGGACTTTGACTTACTTCTGCAGGACTAAGGTGCATTCAGAATTTAGCTGTGGTACATTGTACTTAGGGATAGATGAAGTATTGGTGACCTTGTCGGTGACTTACAGGCAGCAGTTTCCCTGCAAAATATTTAGGTGCATAGTGCAACCTCTGCGGTGAGTAAGAGTGCAGTATAATGCTGCTTTAGCACTTTTTGTTTCAATAAAGAATGTGCTTCTGAAGCACATTTCCTGATCAGCTCTACTTTGGGTTAAATCTCAGAACACCTTGGAGAGCATTTGCTGCATGGCTTTTGGATGATGCTGTACTTGAAGATGTCCTCCAGCCACTTGTGGCTGTTGTTCAGCTCGTGGAAGCAGGCTAGAGCTAGCTTGAAGGAGAAGCCACCTCCCCTTTGGCTCCTCTGCACAACCTGGTGACTCCAGTAATATTTCCCAGTTTGGCCTCACTGCTTGGTAGTAAGGACAGAACTTCAAGGACTTTTCCATAGCTGCTGAAGTAAGTGGGATGCTAAGCAAAGAGGTGTGTAATCACAGCTCATAGGAAATGGTAAGGTTTCAGGGTAGGATTTAGCACATTACCAGCTTTACTTATCTTCAGCCTAAGCCATTCAGATGAAACAGTTGCAGTTAAGCAGATTCCACTTTCCAGTATTTGGGGTTGTGTCCACTTCTGCAGTCCAATCTGAAACCCTGTCCTGTTACAGGGAGGCTCCTTTCCCAGAACTGGAATTTGGCTGATCTGTTTGTGACCTCAAATTTCTAATCCAAACCGAGGTGCCCTTCAGCTATTGGATGCTTGGCACTTGGAGAATGTTTAGCTGGAATGTGGGATACATAAGGCATTTAAGCTTTAACTTTTGTAAATCACGGAATGAGACTCACAGAATGGGTCAGGTTGGAAGGGACCACAGCTGGTCATCTGGTCCAACCTCCCGGCTCAAGCAGGGCCATCCTAGAGCACATGGCATAGGACTGTGTCCAGATGGTTCCTAAATACCTTCAATGGGGGAGACTCCACAACCTCTCTGGGCAATTTGTTCCAGAGCTTGGTCACCTGCAATCCACTACTGTACTTGTGGATCTAGGTGGTTTAGTTGTGCCTCAGTTACACTCTAGGTGCTTGAGGCTCCCAGATCTTCTGTCTGTACACAGCTTCTGACTTTTACATGTTGTCTTCATTTCACATAAGTAGAATCCAAATTAGATCATACTTTGAAGAAAGATAGGGTTGCTGTTAAGCATTATGATCACTGCTTCCTAGCTATTGAACGATGTATTTCCTATCTAGAGTATTTCTAAGGATGGCAAGAGTAATATTTACTATAGGTGTATATATAACACTTAAAAAATTGCATAGTAGAGGTTTGTGTGACTTACTACATAGAATTGTTAAAGGATATGATTGTAGTTGGTTTAGGACACTGAACAAACTGCTGACTTAGGAAAACAGAGCCAGTCTCTCTGCCACCCAGAGAGAAAGTCCTGCCTTCCCCCTTCCTGTTTATTCCCATTGGCTTGCTTGTGTCAACATTAGACATCAGATGGTTACATGGTCACCTGGATCAGTGCTGATGTGGCTGACTATCGGCCTGTATGGTCTGAATGCCAGCAGGGAACAGAAAAGCAGGAACTTCGTTTGCTAAAGCATGCTGTGGCTTGGTGTGCAGACCTGCTGTCTGTGTGGGCCAAACAGGTTTGGGTGAGGGGCTTTGGGCTGTGTGAACCCAATTGTAAAAGCATACATTTGGAGACTGAGCCACTGAAAAGCAGTGCAGATGTGTTTGTGTGGTGGCATTGCAAAGACCTTTCTGAGCTGAATGGTGTGGAGGGTGAACTGGTCACCCTTTTGTGATCCTTAGTTAGGATTAGGTAACTATTTCTCTATCCGCCGGGATTTTCTTGGTACCTGTGTATCAGAATGTTCTACCTTCTTTCCTTTTTAGAAGAGAAGATCTTCCCTGCTTTAAACACTTGTAGTTTGTTTGCTAGTTCAGTTTACTTTTAAGGGAGTTTTGGTAATCTTAAAGTATTAGGTTTTAGTTTGGGTTACTGAGATTTATTTTCATACTGTGTAACATATTTTAGTAGCTTATACACATTTTTCTTTAGTCAAGAAGAACGCTACCTCTGTGTCTAATGTCTTTTCATCTCAAATTTTCTGCACTCATACAGTATAAAATGTAAGTGGTATATTTGGTAAAGTTTTAAACCTGCTTAACACTGGTACAATGCACTTTCCAGAAAAGCAGATGATGTGAAAAGGAGAATTTAGACATGGAAAGTCACCTCCTGCCACTCAAATGATCAGTCCTGTTCTTTTTTATGCATTTTCTCATTAATCGATTTTTTTTCTTTGTACAGGTAAACCTTTTTATTGCTGTAATGTTGTACCAGCTGAGCTAAATTGATTAGATTTAAATTATTCTCAAGAAGTCTCTAACTCCTTACTGTTGGAACCACAGACTTCAAAGACCGACTTGTTCTTCTCCTTCCTGCCTCCTTAAAATCACTAAAAAGAAGCAACTGTCAATA